GCAATCAAAGCGTTCGGTTTTTTAACGTAAAACCCACATTCAAAGAATGTGCGGAGACACAAAGGGGGTTGCTTGAATTTTCAGTGGATTCACCAATTCAGAATATTCAAAATCTTCAATGTGTTAACAAGCCTAGAGACGGGCGGGCGACACAGCACATTGTGAAGCTTATGAAGTAGTGAATCCACTGAGAATGATGAAAAAGACTCCCCCCTTTAAGATACACGACAAGGGGGGCTTGAGGGGGTTGTAATTTTCAGCATCCTAACCGCCTCAAAATTTTTAGAAATCTTCAGCGTTCCTGAACAATCGAACAGTGTACTTCAGCATTTTAAATGCATTCACCACTTCAACATATTCAGAATGTACAGCGTTCATACACACTCGGATAGGGAAGCCGAATGCTCAAGCATTCTGAAGGTTTTCAAATGGTGAATCCACTGAAAATGTTCAGCTACACCCTCGTTTAAAAGGACAAAACGAAGGGAGCCAGGAGGGAGTTCAGCACTTTCAACATTTTTACCTCTTTAGAATCTTTAGCCTTCCTACATACTGAAAGTATGTAGAAGGGTGTAATTCAGCACTTTCAACATTTTGAGTGGATTCACCACTTCAAAGTCTTCAGAATGTTCAGCATTCATCAGAGGTTGACATTGGGTGGCCGTGACCCGACCCAACCGTACCCAGCCGTACCCGACAGTTCTGGACTGGTGCGGGTATGGGGGGATATGGCCGGGGCATGCTAGAACATAGGATTCGTGAAAACCTAACAAAACAAATTGTTAGGTTCGCACGAAATCTATTCAAGATTATGATAGTACATTTTTCCGGTCTCCTCCAGGAACTAAATTCTACGTGAAGTGAAACATCCGCAAAAAAAAGAACAGAAAATTAAATTTTCAGTACTGGAGGGGGCGAGGAAAAAAGCGGGTTTTTTCATAGAAAATCACGGCCTGGTCAAACACCGTAGGTTCAAGAACTGAAGTATCCTGATTTTTTGTTATCCAAAACAATTGTGTTTATCTATACTCTTTATAAAGGGAAGAGTGGGTCTCGAGTGACGCTGTCCCGCAGCCGATCTGTCTGTGTTGGGAAAGAGTTGGGCGGCAAGGCACGGGCTCAACAGGAACTTCGCAAAATCGGAGGGGTTTTTTTGGGTCTGCCGTGCGCCGGTTCGAAGGGCGTCGCCGCACGGGTTTTTTGGGCTGTTGTGTGGCGGTTGGAAGGGTGTCGCCCGGTGCAAATTTCTTTTTGTCATGGAAGTGTGTTTCCCCGTCATTTTTTCGTTGGGTAGCGGGTGGCGGGCAGCCGTTGTGCGAAGGAAAGAGATGTTCAACGGTTGGAATTCCATGTTCTAGTCGAAGATTCATTGGATGTTGCTCATCCTATCGATGGAAGTGGCATGGCACGAGCCGCGAGGTCGGAGAGTTATCGTCTCTCTCTCTCTCTCTCTCTCACACACACACACACACACACACACACACACGAACGATTCATTCCGATTTTGCTAAAGAAGTGGCAGTGTATATTTCCACGTTTCAATGGAAGATTCATTCCGTTTTTGCTCATCCTATCGATGGAGTGTGTGTGTGTGTGTGTGTGTGTGTGTGAGAGAGAGAGAGAGAGAGAGAGAGAGAGAGAGAGAGAGAGAGAGAGAGAGAGACGATAAGCCTCCAAACCCCACCCCTCACCGCACGCTACTTGGATCGATAGAATGAGCACATCAAAAAGTGGCAGTGTATATTTCCACATTTCAGCGGACGATTCATTTCGTTTTTGCTCATCCTATCCATGGAATGTGTGTGTGTGTGTGTGTGTGTGTGTGTGTGTGTGTGTGTGTGTGTGAGAGAGAGAGAGAGAGAGAGACGATAAGTCTCCAACCTTGGCCAACAGCTAAGTCTCCAACCCACGCCTAGCCGCACGCTACTTGGATCCATAGAATGAGCAAATCAAAAAGTGGCAGTGTCTGTTTCCACGTTTCAGCGGAATTTTCATTCCGTTTTTGCTCATCCTATCGATGGAATGTATGTCTGTGTCTGTGTGTGTGTGCGTGTGTGTGTGTGAGAGAGAGAGAGAGAGAGAGAGAGAGAGAGAGAGAGAGAGAGAGAGAGAGAGAGAGAGAGAGAGAGAGAGACTGAATATAAGTCTCCAACCTCGGCCAACAACTAAGTCTCCAGCCCCACGGCTCGCCGCACGGTACCTGGACCGATAGAATGAGCAAATCGAAAACTGGCAATGTATATTTCCACGTTTCAGCGGAAGATTCATTCCATTTTTGCTCA